CAGGAGGGTAACTGTGTGTGTAAGGACAGCCTGGGGTACATAGTGGGACTCTGTCCAAACAGTTGCCAACAGTGCCACTAGTGTAGTGGTATCATGCAAGATTCCCCAAACAAACAATTGCCAAAAAGGCAGAAAACATGATTAGAATAAATATTACTTGAGAAACATAGTTTCAAATGCATATATATGTAGGTATGTGTTTATTTTTGATAAAAATTGTATTTTTTTGTTAAAAGTGAAAGCTGCTGCCTTAGTGTCTCTGACTGCCTTATGTGTCTGTCTTTCAACTCTCTGGAGGAGATTCAGCAGCCTGTTAAGTGAATACTTTTATTTCTACCCATGTTTTGAAAAAATGTTCTGATACATTCACTTTTTTTTTGTCAGCAGAACCGGGAATTGAACTCAGGCCCTTGCACTTGCCAGGCAAGTGCTTATTCTACTGAGCTATATCCCCAGCCTTGATATATTCACTTTTGATATTTCTGAAATTATTTCTTCTCAGAAGTTATGGTGATTTCAATGTGTTGTTAAGGGGAGCTGCCAAATCAGGGTTAGTATTTTATATGGTATGACATTGACCAACTTCTCTATTGTTCACTATCAGAAGTACTACTGAAAGATTTGTAAACAGCTTAAGCACTATGTTTGGATTAAGGAAATACTATCTTTTATAATTGTGTATCACAGAAATAAAGTGGTTATTTTCCTTGAAGAATAATTTTTCTCTAGTAATTTTCTTTTGTGTAATTAAAATCTAAGTGTTTTGAGGTAATTACTAATTGGTTGTTTTTTTTTAGTGTATTTGGTACAGGATTTCACTACATAGCTTGGACTCTTAGTGATCCTCCTATTTTCATCCTCCCCAGCATTGGATTAACAGATGTACACCGCCATGCCTGGTCTCAGTGACTGGATCAGCGCGCCCTGGGGCAGGGCTGGTGCAGCATGTGGAACCAGGGATCAAACCTGGGTCCTTGAGCTTGCTAAGCAGGCGCTCAGACCATTGAGGTGTATCCCCAGCCCAACTCCTTCCCTTTTCCGCACCAATTAATTTTTGGAATGGTTCTGTGAGAATAATTATTATTTGCAGTGTTTAGGATTAAACCCATGGCTGGGGAGGTGGCTCAGTGGCATAAGTGCTTCCCTGGCAAGCACAAGGGCCTGAGTTCAATCCCTGGTTCCGCAAAAAAAGAAAAGAAAGAAAGAAGGATTAAACCCATGGCCTTAACACTGAGCTGCATCTCCAGCCCCTCTTTAAAATTTCTATTACCAAATATTTCATTATGTGTGTGTGTGAAATTAGTACTTTGCAGTGCCTGATTGTATTTCTTATGGGGAGTTTGTTCATGAATTTTTTTTCTCCCCTTCCCTCCATCCCTTTACCCTACTCATTTGAAAGTCTCCCTACTTATTTAGTTTTGTTTTTTTTTTTAAATTTATTTGTGTGTGTGTGTGTGTGTGCGCGTGCGTGTGTGGCCAGCTCAGCCCACCAGGGGGCGGGGCTGGCTGGCATGTGGTGCTGGGGGATTGAACCGCGGTCCCTGTGCTTTGCTAAGCTTGTTCTAAGTAGGTGCTTTAGACCACTGAGCCATCTCACCAGCCCCCTTATTTAGCTTTTATTTTGCACACTCCCATGTGTCATCTGTTTGTCTATGTTATCATCTATCTATCTTAGCTATATATTGAGTTTCTTATATGGGGCAACCATGTGATATTTAAATTTGCACTTCTTATTTCACTTGATATTTGGGCTCCCAATTGTACCCATTTACTGTGAGTGCCTCAGTTTACCTCCCTTTGCGGCAGCCCCTTCTCACTTTGAGACTAGGTGTCACTAAGTTGCCCATGCTGGGTGGGAACATATGATCCTTCTACCTCAGCCTCTTAAGAGTACCAGGATTACAGGTGTGGGCCGGTGTGCCCTGCTGGGAATCATTCTTACTGTTTTGTTACCGGGAATTGAACTCAGGAGCTTATGCATGCCAGACATGTGCTGAAGCCACTGAGCTATCTTCCTGGCCCAGATTCATTGTTTTTTAAGATGCTGAACACTACTCTCCAGTTACCACCAAACTTGGCAGTAAGTGCCTGGTCCCTGCAATAAACATGAGCAATTTCTCAGTGTGGCTTCTTTTGCCACTGCAGCTTGATAAACTATGTCCAGTGTCACTTACTAGGGTAACTTTTTTTTTTTTTTTTTTTGTGGAACCAGGGATTGAACTCAGGCCCTTGTGCTTGCCAGGGAAGCGCTTATTCTACTGAGCCATCTCCCTGGCCCTATCTTCTTTTTTTTTAATTTTTAATTTTTTTTCTATAATTTTATTGAGAGACAAATAGCAGTGAGACAGTTTCAAATCAAATTGGTATGACTTTCAATAATTAACACATTGCATACTCTCTTCCTAGTTGTTATGGCCCTATCTTCTTGAATGCAAGAAGGAAAGATAATGAGTAGAACTTGCTTCTTGGTGATAAGCTTTATAATGGTGTAATTATGCAAATCTAAACAGTACATTAAGGAAGGAAGCTTGTCTCCCTTAGGATGTGCTTTTGCTGTCATCTGTAGTGAAAGACACTTCGAGAGCCACTTGCAGCTGTGTGGGATCTGTAATCCTGTCTGTGTAGATTATGACTGTTCTCTCCCAAAGGGATAAACTTGTGCTTCAGTGTAGCCTTTGTGATCTTTATCCTGCATGTAAGCTTGGGCTCTGCTGAAGTTGTGCAAGGGACACGTTGTGCTGTGAGACTTAAGGAAAGAGCAGACAGTTCTTATTTTGTGTGGGATGGACAGACCAGACCCTTCTTGGTCAGGCGAGGAATGGCCACAGGTAACAGGCATGAACGGGGTCTGAGCTCTTTGGTCCTATTAAAGTATTCTGACCACTGAATTTCCTTGTCACAGAGAAGATGCTGCAGGGAGCTCTCCAGGAAAGTGGAGAGTGGGGATTTGGATTAAAAAAAAAAAATTAAACCTTTCAGCAGCAAACACTTCTGCATGATCTTGAGAAAATCCCTTAACCTTGATATTTCTTCTCAGAAAAGTGAGGACCAGTTCATCTTTAAAATCATTCCCCATTTGTAGGTTCTCAGTGTGTGGGGTAATGAATAGATACAAGCAAAATGTTACTTTAGGTGGTCCCAGTTGTGCACAGCGGTTGGCTGAGTGAGTCCCACTGGTACCCTTTTATCCATGTGCTAGTAACATTTGATAAAGTGAGACAAGCTATGGATTAAAGAGAGACCACTCTCCACAGTATTTATTTTTTTATTTATTTAAGTTTAAAAATAATCTTCATGGCACCAATGATTTTTATGCTAACTACATACTGCACGTGTAGGAAAAAGTACACTGCTTTGAAGGAAAATGTAACTTAAGAGTTTTTGGCACACAAAAGGTTAACAACTATGTATTTGTAAATGGAACTAAGAAACTCACATTTGTTAGTTTACCCTCTACTGCTGCAAGATGTGGTACATTACTCTTCAGTAGGAGTAATTTTGTCTGATAGAGGACAGGATGGAAACTTGATTTTTTTTTTTCTACAGTGAGATAGAACTAATTTTGAGAGAAAACGAGACAATAGAACATAATAAAACCAGATTAAAAACTTGAACAATTTTTAATGGTGAGGAGATACTGAAAAGACTAGTTACCAAACAAAGGTTTGTTACTCAAGCACTATATGAAAAACAAATTGAAGGAAGTTTCTCTATCTATATTTTCTGGAATAAGCCCTAGAAAAAAACAAATGTCCCAGACGTTTCAGTAGGGCTGCTAGGATGGCATGGACTACCGTACTGTCAGGACTCTGAATACAAGAAGCACACAGGCAGGGATACGCGTCTCTCCCGTGTGGATAGGCAAGGACCGAGGTGCGGCTATCGATCACTGCAGAGACTGTGTTCTACGGACTGAGGTAGGAGCACTACACTAGGAGGTCACCCGCTGGGTTGCGTAAGACAGCGGAGATCCACTTTGGCACCAGCCCCCATCTCCTGGCAGCCTTTTCATCTCTGGGTCTGTTTTCTACTTCAGTTCTGTGCTAAATAAAGCCTTTGCTATGTAGATGACAAGTGGCAGTGGATAGTTGGTTTTAAGTGATCCCTAATCTACAAGGATCTCCCTTGGTTTCTCTTGTCACTTGGTAAATAGTTGTTTTTGATTCTACCCAAATTGTTGGTGGCATGGGGATGATCAGAGACCCACCTCCATTTTTTGATTTGCCACATTGTAGCGTTCTAGCACTTGACCTGGCTTATCTTGGCTGCTGGCATCTTTGCTGGTTGGTTCGTGAGCACCCTGTAAACAAGCACCCCAGCGTCTCCACAGTGAACTGTCCTGGGTCTCTAGCACAGGCCAGCGCTGGAGCAGAGGTGACCCTCTTCTGCTAATATGGGGTCACTTTTACTGTCTTCACTAGGGTGGACTTACTATAACCTTCAGGCCAAATTCAGCCCACTTCTATTTTTATCAGGCTTTATTTGAGCACAGCCATGTTCTTTCATGTACGCTTCACTTGTGGCTGTTTTTGTGCTATGATGGCAGAATTGGGTAGTTGTAACAGAGTATGGCCCACAAAACCAGAATATTTATTATCTGGCACTTCTCGGGACGTTTACTGACCTCTAGATGAAAAGGGTAACTTTAATTTCTTTAAAATGATACAACCTCCAGCCCCGCTTACTTGTCCATGGCTGCTGCATTCTGGACATGGACGAGGTTCTGCCATCTTGGGCTCTAATTAGGGGAGAGCAGACCTACAGGAGATGCATTCAGTTTGCATTTGGGCCTGTCCATCATCCTAGTGTTGTCAGTCGCTTCGCTTCTGTGGGACTCAAGTATACCAACCTTAAAAAAGTCCTCAGGCCTGGGTGACATGGAAATCTCTCCCTGAGATGAGAACCAGACCTTGCGTGTGACGAGTTTAAGTGCTGCTGAGCTCAAGCCGAGGGAGCTCGCACCCACCTGCCCCCGTGGCCCTGCACCCCTCAAGCTCCCA